ATATATATATATATATATATATATATAAAGAGAGAGTGTGTGTGTCCTTGTATTTATAAAGTTTTTCTTATGCTTTTTACCTGGTTTATTTTAGTAAAGTCTCACTTTTTCCCCCACCCCTTAAAGAAAAAAAGAAATGTATTATTACACTTGCATTTTGCTTTAGGCCCAGATTGGTATCTTGGGAATGTTTTTGTCTTCAAAATGGAACTTAGCTAATGTAGAAAAGTAGTTAGGGAAGGCAAAGGAACTGTTGATGGTGTACTGTTTTGATCCAGTGATCAAAGGAAGGAGAGACTCTTGATTAAAGGAGATGAATTATTTACATTCCCTTGCCTGCCTTCCCTTCAGCTGCTGAGATGGGGTGGCTCCACACAGGGTCCTCTGTTCAGGACAGTGTCCTGGTGCGTGGGGCCTCCTCTGTCCAGACTTACCTTAAGGATACGCAGGTGAGGTTGAGTCACCCCAGACTTTGCTTCTAAGGCAGCCCAGTGGGTAAAAGTGAAGCTCAGTTTGGGAACGTAAAAGCAGTAGTCCCATGAAGATGATTTTGGTTCACAATGATTCATTCACTCTTCGTTTCTTGGAGGTTACATTTGTACCCCTGAAATTCTTCATTATAGTGTCAGCGCTGTTGGAACCTGGTAAATTTTTGTTCTTATGAACTTATTTGAGAAAATAAAAAGAGCATTAAACTAATTGTATAAGCAGAGGAGTAAAAAGCCCTATTTCTGGCAGGAAGAACTGCATAATAAATTTTTTTGTTGATGATGTTATTTTGAGCTTTGGGGTTGTGGAAGTGGGTTTCGAGGTCAACTGTGGGGGCAGAGGGCTAATGTCTTCGGTCTGCTACACAGGGAGTGTAGGGAGTCTGTACATTTTGGAAGTCCGGGGCAGGGGGAGGCTTATGAGTTCAGGAAGACGTCCTGCCCCTCCCCCAAGAGGTAAGGCGCTCTCATGTCTCAAACTATACATTTTCTTCCTGACACATTTCAAGCTCTTCCTGTTCCTGTTCTCAGCAGCAGGGTGGTGTCACTGCTGTCCAGTTGCAGACTGAGGCCCAGGTGGCATCTGCCTCAGGCCAGCAAGTCCAGACCCTCCAGGTAGTGGTGCCCTCTCTGATTCTCCGCGAGCACTGCATGGGCCTGTCCTCCTCGTGTCTGGTGCTGTCTGTGTTAGGGGCTCAAGTAGGAGTGCCGGAGTCAGTCGCATGTCTTGGATGCTGCTAACTTGTCCTTGAGGCTGTCATTACAAGGTGCCAGTTTCCTGATGTTCACCGCCAGGTCACAGAGTTTTCTGAGAACTGCTGGCTAGTGTGTTTTGGGGGGTGCCTGGAAAAAATACAGAAGTGACAGAAGAAATCCTCACAAGTGGCACTGGAACTTATTCCCGTGCTCAAACTCTGTAATCTGATTGCATAGTAAAATTTCATGAATTTGTATGTATTCTAGTGGAAGAGAAAAGCTAGGCTGGCCTGCCCTTTATTGAAAGGGCAGCTTGAATGCAGAATAGTTATTCCATTCGGCAAGGTTTATCTAAGCACCAAATCTTGTTAGTCTCTTGTTAACCCCACTTGTTTTTACTACTTTTTCTGGGGGACTGGTGACCTGTCTTATTACTAGCTGTTCAAAGACTGGCCTGTATCCCCCTTGGCTGGGCAGACGTGGGATATTCTTTCACCACTTTGATGCTGCAGCCACTATCAGAATTCTTACTGGTTGCTTAGATGTGTTACAAAAAGAAAACAGAAAAAATACTTTAAAGCATTCTTACCCAGTGCAGCCAGGGTAACATTATATACGGCCAAGTCAAATATCGTATACTGGAGCTATGATTTAGCTAGTTCCTATATAAAAATAGGAGTAGGAGCACAAGTCTGCGTGTCTAGATTATTCTTCCTAAAATGACCATATGTTTGAGAAGTTGACAAGATACAGATGCCCTACCTTTTTCCTCCATCAAATTGGAAGTGATTTTAGAGTGTGGCTGAGAACGTAAAACTGGCATCTCACTTTATTATTAGCACTGCCCAGCGTCCCGCAGTTAACTACCCCTTACTCCAGTCGTTTCACCTCCCCCTTTGAGCCCCACCGCCAGCAGCGTCTGCTGATGATAGACGGCCAGCTCCTGGCATACATCAGGCTGAAAGAAGCTGAGCTTACGGGTGCTCCCTATCTGTATAGGAATCTTAAGAGTTCAACAGCTTGTCTGTGTTCATGCTTGCTTCATCTTATTAATATATAAAACAGTATTTTGGGTTGTTATTAACCACTTGCAGAATGGGAATGTAATGTGCTTTTAACTGTATGGCTTCTGTCTGGTGCATGTGTTCTGTGAACATTCGTATGTTGTAAACACTGGGCTGTTCAAATCATTTACCACATGCATGTGTAGCATGTTTATGGGGGAGGAAATTAAGGTGGATAGCTCGAAAACTGAGAGTGTCTCAGAATTTCTGTTAACTACTTAAGTTCTATTTAAAAGAAATGGAAGTAATGGAAATCTTTCTTTGGTGGAGGGGGTCTCAGTGTTTTTGGAGAATTTTAAATATTCGTCTGATAAGCTTGCTGATAATTCTGCTCTGAAACAGCGTATGTAAGCATCAGTGTAGCAAAGGGAATTTGAGTGTAAGGGAAGGAGAAAGCATGACAGAATCAGATGTAAAGTCCTTAAAAGCAAAGTGGAGTTTCACAAGGGACCATTTAACAAAACCTGTGATTTCAGTCTTACAATTCTGATGGAGTGGTGGTAGGTGGCCCTTGCAGTGTAACCTCTTCGTTTGCTACAGGTGGATCTTTAAATCCATTAACTGTTGTCGAAGCATGCTGTTACAGGAATTAAGAATGAATGTTTTAGTGATGAATATTTTTGTTCTGTATCAATAATTCCTCAAAGGTAGAATATGAAAATGAAAGCTTGGAACTTGTAGAGCTCTTCTGTTGATCATTCTTATTCACATCTAAAGTGGTTTGGTCGCCAGGCGTGGTGGCGCACACCTATAATCCCAGCACCTGGGAGGCTGAGGCAGGAGAATTGCTGTGAGTTCGAGGCCAGCTGGAACTGTGTAGTGAGACCCTGTCTCAGAAAGACAAAAAATAAATAAAGTGGCTTGGTTTAAGCCTCCAGAAAGCATTCTGGTGGGGTTTTTTTGTTTCTTTTTGTATGAGGAATTGAACTCGGGACCTTGCACTTGCCAGGCAGGCACTTGTACTACTGAGCTATATCCCTGGCCCACAGTGTTTATTTTTACTTTGAGACTCAAGATGTGACAGAGTAGATTCAGTGACATGGTTTCTGGAGTAGTCAGTGTACCCACAGGAGCTTGAAAGTTGGGAATTCTGTTGGTGTGCCTGACTGCTCTGTGTGATTTCACTATTTGTCATTTCTTCTGATTAAGCTAAAATAACTGCAGATACTGCAAGCTCCAGTGTGAACTATGCAGCAAAGATTGCAAACTGACCAGTGGGTCCTTAAGCAACAGACATAACCTAGATCCTCAGAGTGAGGTGATAGGGTCACAGGTGTGCATTCCACCTGCCTGGCCGTGGGAGAAAGGTCTCCATAAACCAGCAGAGGTCGTGCTACCCCAGCTTCCTGGTGTTGTGGTAGATGCTCTGATTTACTTCCGTCAGGTTACCTGTAACTTGCTTTAACCACCACCTCCTTTTTCATTGCCTACTCCAGCTCTCTTAGAGACCTTCTTGGGTCTCGAAAAGGCCAGTATCTTTGATGTATTGATTAAGTAAATGTTTGTCCTGATATAGCCTTTGGTGGTAAATGCCTTACATCTGACTAGATGTTCCACTTGTGGACTAGATGTGCTCCACTCTATCTCACCTTAAAATACTCAATTCCATGTCTAGTCAGAGGTGTCAGAGCTACTTGAAGGAGATAACTTGAGGACCAACGCCTCACTTTCATAGTGTTCCTCCTGCCCGCCCACTACCCCCCATTACCCCAGCAAGGCAGCAGAATAGTTCCAGTACTTGTCTTTTGGTAAAAACCATTTTGTGTCTTTGTTATTTCATTGTTTTTATTTTCCTTCATTGTAGGTCCAAGGGCAACCATTAATGGTACAAGTCAGTGGAGGCCAGTTAATCACATCAACTGGCCAGCCCATCATGGTCCAGGCTGTCCCCGGAGGACAAGGTCAAACCATCATGCAAGTACCTGTGTCTGGGACACAAAGCTTGCAGCAGGTGAGGGGCATTTTGTAAGTATGTAGGCAGTGTGTCAGCATAGATGTCTTGCGGAGTGGGTTGTGAACAGCGACAGTTGTTGCCTTGCTTGCTTCCCACCCTCTGTGGCAGTGGTGGCTCGCCTATGGCGTGTGTGCCACAGCGCTGTCTGTTACCACTGAAAGCTCTAAAAGGTTCACCTGACTGCTCTATAGTGTTACGTAGTCGATTTTCTGCCTTTGTGTAGTACACTTTAGTAAGTGCTGGAATATTAGGCATGGTGTTAATTGCTAGAAAGAATATAAAAAAGACAAGAATCTAGTTTATCAAGTAACTTTTTGGAATGCCTAAGGGCTAGAGTAGAGGGACTTTACAGTCTGCTTTAGATGGTGTGTAGTCAGAAATGTCATCCTTTTTTTTTTGGTACCAAGAATTGAACTGAGGACCTTGTGCTTGCCAGGCAGGTGCTATGCTGCTGAACTAAATAAATCCCCAGCCCTGTCATCGTTTTTGTGTATCTCCATATAAATTATTTATATGAGTTACCTCACTGATTGAGAAATGAGAAAAGATAAACAGGATGAAAGTGCAGGAGAGATTAAAAGAAATATATAGGGCTATTACATGCAACTCTGTCATCAAATTGTAACATTTGATAGCTGTCATCAAAATTTATTATCAAATTAGCACAAGTTTTTAAAAGTGATTATATCTGCTGCTAGAGAGCATATGGAAGAAATAAAAATAACCTTTTTTGGGAATTTCAAACTGGAAGACATCTAACTGTCTCTTAGATAAACCTTTGTATCTACCAGTCCTACTTCTAAGAATCTGACCTGCAGACAACATTACTGTGTACACAGAAATGTTCAGAGACATGTCATACTGCCTTGGACTAACAAAACAAATTTTTGTAATCTGAATGCCTATTAATGAAGCTAGGGCAGTAATTTCAAATATTATGTCACCATTAAAAAAGATGAACTGTTAAGCCAGGCGTGATGGTGCACGCCTGTAATCCCAGCACTCGGGAGGCTGAGGCAGGAGAATCGTTACAAGTTCAAGGCCAGCCTGAACTATATACAGCAAGACCCTGTCTCAAAAAGACAAAAAAAAAAAAAAAAAAAAAAAAAAGATGAACTGTTGGCTTAGATTGATCGTTAAGTATTTTTAGTGAAAGATAATTTGCAGGTATAGACTCTGATCTCATCTTTATAATCAATAACTAGTTCCCCATGGTTGTGTAAGTTTATGAGCCTAGAGAAAAGGGTGCAAGAAAGCTATTCACTTTTTATTGCGTCTTTCTATTGTGGTCGTTACAGCAGTTATGTTCATACGAAGTCTTAGTTCTTATGAAGAAATATAAGTTGAAAATAAATCAACCATGATGATGCTGCTGATAAAATAAACTTGTAATTTTTCCCTTATAATTTTACACATAGTTTTTGTTCATAATTACACAGTACATGTAGAGTTTCTGCTTTTTTTAAATGTAATTTATTTCCACAGTTTTCTTAGTTGCCATTTTTATTTTCTTCATAATATTCAACCAGGTCAATTAATCAATTTCTAATTTACAAAACGTATTTAAGGGTTTATTCAGTTTTGCTTTTGTGAGTGAAGCTACTACAAACATATTTGGGCACAGTAGTTTTATTTTTCACTGGGACTCTTAGGGCAGTTTTTTTGGAGTGAGGGTTGCTCAGGGAAACAGAGCGTTTCTAATGCTATTGTCCTGTTCTTGCCAGGATAGAATTGTAGTTGAGATTAAAAATAGTTTGCATATTTCTTCATGCATAAACGTATGAGGCTTTAAATATATTTTCAGCGTGCTTTTCTCCATCTCACGCTGCCGTTTCACTGCTGCCTTCCTCTGCCTCCAGCCTCTCTGCCAACTTCCCCGCTGTTGACCAGTGACAGTGCGGCGCTGCACCTGGGTTTTGATTCCCAGTCTGCGGTCACACCAGCTTTCCTGTCTTAGCCTCCTCGTGCGTCTGTTCCATCCACAAATGCAGTTTATATCGGGTGATACCCAGAGTTCATTCTAGCTCTAACATCCTTGATTTAATGGCCTTATTTTTTCTCCAGTGAGAAACCTTGTTATTTCCCTGCCTCTAAGTATGACCATAACGAATCGACTGGGAAAAATTATTGGTACACAAAGCTGTAAGGTCCCACTCTCCCTTAGAATGCTTGAGACTGTAATACTTTCTGTGATTGCTTCTTGTTATTGTGCTTTGAGTAACCTTCCTCCCCACCCACCCAGTCCTGGGGATTGAACCCAAGGACTCTACCACTGAGATACATTTTATTTTTTAATTTGAGACAGGTTCTCACTAAGTTATCTAGGCTGGCCTCAAACTTGGGAGGCTTCCTGCCTCAGCCTCCCTCAGTGCTGAGATTACAGCTGTGTACCTAGGCACCCAGCTTGAACAGCTATTTTTAAGAAAGAAGCATGCTTCTCAACCTTTTTTTGGATTGTATTCTCCATTTTAGAATTCCAGTGAAGCCTATCCCCTCTAAAAAAAGGGCAGATGTCTAGTATGTGCAAAATCTTGCATATGATTTTAGATTTGAAATCCCTAGGCTGATATAGACAATAAAACCAGAATAGAACACCACAAAAATAGATACAAGGATAAAGACTGTAGACATCTATCTTTCTAAAAGTGCCCTCCTTCTAAACTACAAGTTGTGTTGGAGCAAGGGATTTGGCTACTGAAAAATTAAAAAAAAAAAAACAAAAAACCTATCAATCCAATGAATGAATGGTCAAAGAAGTAGAGAGAAGGGAGGGGAGGTACTGTGGGGTACAGGTACTGAGCAGTGTACTCTTGACCCTTGGATTGGGAGTATTCCTGAAAATAAAATAGGAGAAATTTCCAGTTGTGGGGACTTCCTAAATGCTTTCTCTTTTGATCTTTAAAAAAAAAACCTGCGTCCAGTAGTCCGCTGAAAACATGACCCTATACAGCCAAGTGCTAGTATTTTGTAAACAGTTCTTCAAGTTACAAAATTTCAAAGAAATATTTCTCAAATTTTTCATGTTTCCAGTGATACCCCTAATAAAGTGGCCATAGCCATTAAAATAAGAAAGAAAATAGGTTTGGATACCGCGGAATCCCTCCCTTTGCTTTGTGCTTTCTGAGGCTTCGCTTAGGAACCATGGAGCAAGTGCAGGCCGCAGGCCGGCAGACAGTAACAACAGTGCTGAGCGCTGGTGAGGGTGTCGGAGGCCAGAGTAGGAGAAACGTGATCTGACCATTGCATAGTTACCTGTTGTTGCGTATCAAGTGATCCTAGAAGTTAATGGCTTAAAATAAAAAATCTTACGGGTCAGGAATCCTGGCACAACTTAGCTGAGTTCTGTCACTTGGTGTCTCTCTCAAGGCCCTCCTCAAAGTCTTGAGACCCCAATTAAACATTTGATTTGTGAAGAATGTATTTTGAATATATACCTACATATATGTATGTGTAATGTATACACATATATCTAATATCTCACCCGTTAAAGCCCTTCAGAGTGTATTTTTAAGTGAATCTACTTTTTAAAATAGCCGTACCACCACTGTCAATGAAACATTGATTCCCAGACTGTGTCCAGAATTCCCTGATCATCTTGGAAGTGGAAAACAGGTTATCACCAGTTTATAACAATGAGCAGAATGGGACTCTCATGTTGTTGCCTCTTGAGAGCATTTCCTGCTTTCTAAAGGAGTTGATTTGACTAACATCCGGGGAGTAGAAGCAGCTGGTATCAGTAGGGTGCTATCCTGTGTTCTCTCCTGCAGATCCAGTTAGTCCCGCCTGGGCAGATCCAGATCCAGGGTGGGCAGGCTGTGCAGGTGCAGGGCCAGCAGGGCCAGACCCAGCAGATCATCATCCAGCAGCCTCAGACGGCGGTCACAGCTGGCCAGACACAGGTAATCCCACCTCTCTGTCAACCCCAGGGCACAGGTGATTGGGGAGGGTCGGGCGACAGAGGCTGGCGCTCATATAGTAGAAAGGGGAAAAAGGAAAGAAGCGTCCCCCATAGTTCTGTAGAGGACCGCGGTCACTTTCTGTGCGGCTGTCTCTGGGGTAAACAGATTGTGTCACTGCTCATTCATTTCCCGCAGACACAGCAGCAGATCGCCGTCCAGGGGCAGCAGGTGGCACAGACCGCAGAAGGGCAGACCATTGTCTATCAGCCAGTCAACGCAGACGGCACCATTCTGCAGCAAGGTAAGGGGGCCCTGAGTTTCCCAGGGACTTGTTGGCTATCTTTTTATCCCAAGCAACTGTGTGAGTGCTTCAGAATTTTAGTTGTAAACTCCACATAATTTTTTGAAACTGCCCCTCTAAAAAAAAAGATTTTCTCTTGGTCTGCATTGATTGTTGGTTCTTTGTCACTGTTCCATGACCAGCACAGTCTCCATTTGTAACGTGAAGTTCTTATAATGGTAGCTAAAAGACTGGCCCAAGAGATTATGATGTTTTAGGGTCTAAATCATTCTAAATAAAAGATTGAAAAAAGGGAATTTCTTCATTGGTAAATAAAGAAATACGTTGGTAATCAAGTTGGCATTTTGGAGTGCTGTAGCTACCCATGTTTTACTTTCTGGGTCAAGAACATCCTTGTTAGGTTCCATGACTAAATGTTCAACTTAGGATGAATATTTTGCAGTGTGTAAGATGCAGAGAACTCAGGCAGGATGGTGAACAAGTCCTCAAGCATTGCTGTTCATGAGCAGGGACTGGACATGCTGGTTTCATTTTAAGTTTCAGGGCCAGGGAAATAGCTCAGCAGCACAGTGCCTGCCTGGCAAGTGCAAGGTCCTGAGTTCCGTTTGTGGTACCGCTCCCAAATCATTTTAAGTTTCTTTTTTTTTTGTTTGGTACTGGGAATTGAACTCAGGACCTTGTGCTTGCTAGGTACGCGCTTGTGCCACTGAGCTATGTCCCCGGCCCAATCATTTTAAGTTTCATTCCTGTCTTCAACTCACTGTCAATTTTGGATAAACATTATACGTTTAGAAAAACTCTTTCCTGGAGCAGAATGTTTTTACATATGTGAGTAGTGGGTACAGCCGTCATCAGACACGTAGAAACTTTCTCTGCCTCTTTAGAAAAGTGTAATTGGAATGCCCAGGGGAGCAGTTCATTCCAAGGGTGGATTTACTCCAAACTGGGTCCTAGACAGTTAATAAAAATTTCAAAGATTGTGATTCCTGCAGTTGCATATAGCAAGCCAGAGTGAGGAAGTTGGGGAGTGGGAGAGGGCTTTTTCTCCGCTCTGTTTTTCTGGGATTGATGAGGGTGTGCCAGATAGAAGAGGGACTAACTGTGTTCCCTTCTTCCCATTCTGTGTGCCTGTTTTATGTTTTATTTTCTTAAAGTCACAGTCCCTGTTTCAGGCATGATCACCATCCCAGCAGCCAGTCTGGCAGGAGCACAGATTGTACAGACAGGAGCCAACACCAACACGACCAGCAGTGGCCAAGGCACCGTCACCGTGACACTGCCGGTGGCAGGCAACGTGGTCAACTCGGGAGGAATGGTCATGGTGAGGAATCGGACTGCTCATCTTGCTGTTCATGCACTAGCGTTTTCGTGCATCTCTTTGTCTTTGCAAATGTCTTGGAACTTCCCTTCTTACATATCCTGTAAAACCTGGCTATAATGTTTGACTTCTTGGAATTGAAATCAGTCTTTAAGGCACTCAGAAAGATTCACTTGTATGGTAGGATTGCAGTGAACTATAATTGTTAGGAGCACCTGTGCTGGGGACAGCAGTGGAGAGACAGGTGTGACTAATTGTATGTTACCAGAGTTCAGGTAATAAGGAGAAAATGAGCTACTGGTGTTTGGGAAATGGAAAATGTGTTGCCCCCATTGGATGAAAGAGAGATAATCTAATAGATTGTAATCAAAAGAGAAAGCAAGAAATGTGTGAAGAAGTTAAGGCGAGTTGGGTGCTATGAGTAAAAGCTGAATCCCTTCAAAATAGGATGTTCACACCCACAGGCTAAGGCGGATAGCTTAAGCATGAGAGGTAGAGCTCGCAGAACTGGAGAGGGCCAGAAGAATCAGCGTCATCATTCAGAGTGGCTGCATTTGGAAAGGGGCCGGGTTGCGGGGATGTAGCTTAGCGGCACAGCACCTGCCTAGCAAGCACAAGGTCCTGAGTCCTATTCCCAGTACCAAAAAAAAAAAACAACAGCCTGTTACTTATGTCCTCATGCATATAGTATGGTGGGGGTTTGTGTGCTTAGAAAAGTTAGGGTTGTATTACATAGAAAGTTAACTAACTTGTTTCTGTGACAGCAGGTGTTAGTAACTTGATCTTGTGTCTGCCTTTGTGCTGTGCCATTGTCTGCTGACTGCTCTATTTCTGGTCATTGTGTGACAGCAGACATACCTAGGAAATGGAGCCATAGATGGATGGGAAGTAAGGTGTGGTCACTTCATTCTCAGTGGCTCCCAAGCCCCAGTGACAAACTTTTCTGGGGTGTTTGTTTAAACTTCAGACTCAAATGTAAATGTTTTCCAGGAATCTGCATGAAACCAAGTATCCTATGAGGCCATCAGAAGAAAGTAGATGAACGGGCACCAAGAAACTTGGCCGTGTCCATACTGTGTGCCAGTAATAAGCTCTGCTTCCCTCCTCCCACAGATGGTGCCTGGAGCAGGCTCTGTGCCTGCTATCCAAAGGATCCCGCTGCCTGGGGCAGAGATGCTCGAAGAAGAGCCCCTCTATGTGAATGCCAAACAGTACCACCGTATTCTTAAGAGGAGGCAAGCGCGGGCCAAGCTCGAGGCAGAAGGGAAGATTCCAAAGGAAAGAAGGGTAGGTGTAATATTGAGGCCCGAGGAAGAGAATGGCAGGGTTCTACTTCTGAGGCGTCCTTTCACATGGTTTGTTAACTTGAGTACCTTCCGAACAGCTGAAGTTTGGGACACACTTCACAAGAGTTAGCATTTGTGATTGCGGCATGTAGCTTCAGCTACAGCATCAACAAAAACCAGTGGTTTAAATGAGGATTATTTTATTTTCTTTCTTTCTCTTTTTTTTGATACCAGGAATCAAACTCAGGACCTTGCGCTTACCAGGCAGGTGCTGTGCCACTGAGCTATATCCCTGGCAGGACTTTTTTTTTCTTACATAAACGAAGTCTACAGATAAATTGTCCCAGGCTGCTAGCACATTTCTGCAATTCTGAAGACCCATCCTCCTCCTGCCTTACAGCTTTGATGTTCTTAGTGTGCTGTTCGCAATCCATGCTGCTTGGGCTCTGCCTGGGAGCAAAGGGAACGAGAACGGTGCTCCCCTGAGCAGTGTGGCGTGTGTCTCATCGGCCAGAATTTAGTTACCTGCTCACAATCCACCGTAAGATAAGCATAGGAGATGCAGACTTACTGCAGAACAGCCATTAGTTAGCATTCCCATTCTTACAGCAGTTATGTGTGATTAGCTGCTCTCTTACTCACTGCTTTCTCAGCAATTCAGAGTCTTCGTTATCCCTGCAGCTTGGCTCACAGCCGTCTTACACATCTACAAGTGAAACTCGTACACTGGCTGACTCTTGGTTGTGGCTGGTTCCTAAGTGGCTGTATTTCTCTATTTTTAGAAATACCTGCACGAGTCCCGGCACCGTCACGCCATGGCCCGGAAGCGCGGTGAAGGTGGACGATTCTTCTCTCCCAAGGAAAAGGACAGTCCCCACATGCAGGTAAGGGGACTCAGCCCTTCTCCCCCTGGTCATTGTCGTTACTGTGTCTGGCCAAGGGAAAGCCTCAGCAATGTCCTTGTGTTGTCACGTTCAGAGCTCAGCCACGTTCTTTAAACTAAGCGCAGGGTTGTGTCTCTGAGTTTTTCTTTGGTCTTGAAAGCACTAAAAGTGCTCACTTTGGCAGCACATGTACTAAAATTGGAACGATGCAGAGAGGATTAGCATGGCCCCTGCACAAGGGTGATGTGCAACTTTGTGAAGTGTTCCATATTTAAAAAAAAAAACACTAAAGGACTGATTTAGCGTCCTCTCTTGTCTTCCTATTTTCCCGTTATTACTGTTGATTCCTTCTTGAAATTCTCTGGTTAATTTTTTAATTATTTATTATCTTCGTGTAATAGTGGCGGTGGCAATCAACACTGTTATGCACCTGGATGAGCCTTTTTGCTTTCTCTTGAATGTCTTAAGAACGTCCTCAAGCTCCATGAGATAGGAATTATCTATCATGGCAGTTCTAGAATTGAGTCTGAGGCTTTGAGAACTAATTTGGAAAAAAAAAAAGAAGAGAGAGAACTAATTTGCCTAAGACAAAAAAAACCTAATAAAATGCTCAGTTGAAATTCAAACCTCGGCAATGCCATTCAGTACCATTCCAGAGTTTGTTCTGTTAACTATATAATATATTGGTTCATACACATAAATTCCACTAGTCGTAGGCATTTTCATCCAAAACAGAATTCTTGGTTTATTTACCACACATAAGCCAGTCACTCATCCCAACAGGTGATGTGTCCGTCCAGCCAGTTATCAAAGCTCAAATGGTCCAGTTGTTGAAGACGTCCTCTTCTATCTCTAAAATACAATTTGATTTGGTTTTCTTGCCTCCAAACTGATGGCAGCCTGGTCTAGTCCTCTTTTCTTTGGCTTAGGTTAATCAAATAGCTGCCTCCTGGTCTTCCTCCTGCTGCCTTTGTGCCCTGGTCGTAGTCCCAATGTCTGTCGTCCTTTAAGTATACATCACAGCACATCCCTGTCTTGCTTGAGCCCCTTTACTACCCCGCCCTCTCCTGTGAGCACGTCCTGAGACCCCGAGTCCGGCCTGGCCACGAGTCCCTGTGCTCCGGCTCCTACTGATGTCTGGTTTCATTTTCTCTTGCTTCTTGGTCTCGGTCTCTGCTCTGCTTGTCTTCTAGTCCAGTATTTTCACAGTGTCTTCTCTGGTGTGTAATAACCAAGGTTGTCTCATTTGTGTTTCCTTCAGTTGAATATATAGAGAGAGTAGAGGATTTTGTCCTCTGTTGTATTTGTCAGACTGAGCATTAAGTAGCGTCCAGTTCTGAACACACAGTAGTTTGTTGAATTAATGAATTCCTCCCACTTACTGACTCGTTACGTGTGACTGTTACATGTGTCACCACACTGTCACAGTGTCCCTGAATTGGTCTACATTCTCCTTGTTGACCTTATGCAGTACTTTCTGCCAGGTCCGTCTTTCTAAGTGGTGTGGTTTTTATCATATTAGTCCCCTTCCCAAGGATGCATAATTTCTGTGGAGTTTCTAAGCAGCTGTATCTTACTCCCCCATCAGCTGTCGGAACTAGGTTTCCTCAGTGCCCCCACACATGGGCACTAAGGACTCCGCCAGCGCTGTCAGCCCTCAGCTGTGCTATTCAGTCCCGCATCTTGTGAGTGTGGGCTGCCAACCGTAGGAGCCCTGTGCAAGAACTTCAATTGCAGGTGCTAACAGTGTGACCTTGGTTGTGTTGCTTTGCCTGCGCGAGCCGGTTTCATCGGTGAAGCAGAAAGCTTTTGGGTTCTTCAGGGATGTTACGGGTCGTCATACAAGGGTACACACAAGACACCCGGTAGTGCCGTTCATGTGCGTGATGGTGCACGGCCAAGACCTGGCACCTCAGATACCACAGCTCTTCCCTCGATCTTGCCTCCCGAAGCTGCAGTCCAAGAGTGCTTCATGTGGAGCACTGCAAAAGCCGCCCAGTGATCCTAATGCCGTAGCTCTTAAGTGAGAAGCAAATACCCAGAGGTTAAAGCAAAAAATTAAATGGGAGCCAAAAGATTTAGGAGTGAACTTTTGCTGGGTTCCTAACTTTCTGGCTGTAATCCAAGCAAATCACTGCCTAGTCAAGCTTCTGGGTTAGCAGCAAGAGGACTGCATTAATTACATAGATTCTGGTGCTCTTGCCAACCCTGCTAAAACACCCGAGATTTAAATGTGATGAGGAAAATGAAGACACACAAGTACAGCCTGTTGTCATGATTTCTCTGGGTCTTTTTCTTAGCCATCTGAGTACTCTTAAGGGTAGAGCACAATTCATTGTGTTTAGGGAAAAGGTGACACTGTTCCTTCTGGAGCGCCTCATGATGGAGGGCCAGGCTTTAAATGCTTTTAAGAAATAAGGTTTATCGTCTTTCCTAATGGAACTCCATTTTCAACTGCATACTCGAACTTGAATACATTACAGGGCTTGGGTTTACTGCACGGTTACTTGTTTTCCCTTGAGGACCCAGTGTGAGAGCCGGCCGCTCCCTGATGCTTTTGCAGAGGGCTCTAATCATCATTATGCTGTCTGTCTCTAGGATCCAAACCAAGCTGACGAAGAAGCAATGACACAGATCATCCGAGTGTCCTAACCCCACTCAGGCGACGCAGTGGAGCTGATCAAGGTCGTGTTCCTTGCCTTTCCCACCGTTCCAGGAAATGGATCAACTCTTCCGACGGGACACTAATGATCACACTCTGCCCTTTCCTACAGGACAGAAACCACTTAATTTTTAATAAGTGGCTCAGTATTATAATTGCAGCAGTGTCTGGGAAATTGAAGTTGCCAGCCTTCGTCTCACCCTTTCAGTCAGGACCTGTTCCCAGCTGTTGAAGTCATTGACATTTCATGAATTAGGCTGATACAAGGAGACAGTTGCCTGCCCAGCAGTACACAAGCACTTACGTGGGCTGGTGAAGCCAGCCAGCCATCTCTGCAGAGAGAAGTGCCCTTCTCTGCCGAACTGTGATGGGGGAGCCATAGCCTGCTCCTTCCCTGGAATCTAGATGCATCCCCTCTTGGGGGATCTCAGGCTGATTGAATGAATAGACACTTCGTAGTCAGAGGTGACTTCCCATGAGGAAGTTTCAGATTGTGACAGAAACAATAAATTCTTGGAGTTATATTCATCTGCTCTGTGGTAGTAAGAATCTCTATCTGCCCAGATGTTGGGTAGATGTTTAAGACACAGCACCTGAATCTTTTTTTTCCTGTGATTTTCTTTTCCCTCTGTTGAAACAATTTCAACTATAGTTCTGGCTGTAGCTATTTTTAAGACAACTTGGGGGGTATTGGACCTTGAAACTGCATTTCCTAAGTAGAGAACAAACTCTCCAGCAGCCCCTGTGCAAAAGTACCAAGGACAACATGTATAGTGAAGTACCAAAAACGGAGAGACAGACAAGAAATTTTCTATCAGGTTTTCTGACAGTGCTGGGGGACCAGGTGGTTCGTGTATCTTACTAGGAGGAGAAACAGTGCCCCGTGTGTGGACAGAAAGCAAACTTCTCCATAGGATGGATGCCAGGGTGGATCACTAAGATGAAAAGATTAATACAGATTTACATTTAAACCTTTTAAGGCACACTGACAGGAGAAGTCAAATTTGGTCCTTGGCAGTTTCAGGAAAACACTTCACTCACGCTGTCCTGGGCAGAGGCTAGGTGCCCTGCAGAAACTTGAGGTGTGAGCGCTGGCTCAAAGCCTGCCCCAGAGAGCGTCCCTGCTGTGCAGCCGATTCTCGGGTGCTGTTGGCTTCCATTTCCCCCTCTCTCCATAGGCCTTGTGCAAGAAGGTTCTTCCTGGGCACCCACACTGCAGAAGTAAACTGCAGACTGGAAATAGAGGTGCCTGTGGGGCCAGAAAAGAGGCCAGTATTCCCAGGATGGGTCGGGCCTCCGAAATCGTACCTTCTAAATGTCGAATCCTGGAGAGAGAACCAAAGTGATTTCAGAAGAGTTGGCTGCTTTCTCTGGAAACAAGGAACACATCAATTATGAAGACCTTTAGGAATTCAAACACCAAAAGCAAAGACAGGTCATCCTTGACGTTACTCTAACTGTATTAATTCAGAACAGACATCGGGAACTACCATTGTAATGGCAGAAATAGAGATGCAGAACTATGCAAAACTGCAAGTGAAATAGCTTCCTCCTCCTCCTGGGAGTCTCATCCCTGTGGCTTACAGATGTGCAGGGGGTTGAGCCCTGGGTAAGCTCACTAGAAACTTAAGCTCTGGACATGAGTTTCAGGTACTGACAGCCCCAAGTGTTTCAGGTATTACTCAAAGCAGAGCTTGTATCTCTCGGTTTAGGAATCTAAGCTGAAAAGTTCAGAAAGAGATACCAGAGACCCAGCTTCTAGTGCTTACGAGGATGGTTCAGAAATTCTGTTTACTTGCATATGTAAGTGTGTACATAGTAAATCTCAGATTGTTGCTGGAGTTTTTCTTTCTGAGGGACGAGTTTGAATCTTGTTTTGAAATGAAATGTTTCAACTGTCAGTCGGTCCCTGCATTTCAGTTAACTCATGACCCTTGTTATTGTGGTCGTTTTAGCCACCACAGTAGCCCACAAGGTGGGGAAGGAGGGCTGGCTGATTTTTTCTTTACCGCTAGTTCTTTTACTCATTTGCCCTTGTGACGGCAGTGGTGACCTCACAGATGCAGAGTGAGTGGACAGATGAATTGGTCTCCGGCATAGTTACGTCACTGTTTTGCAGGGTGACTGTAAACGTGTGTATTTTAATTGCAGTGGCACACAGAGTGTGTCCGTGTCTGTACCAGCAGACCAACAGCGTTTGCTGGCTACAGGGTGCCCCGTCACAATGCCTTGATTCTCCTTTGGGACTCAGCTTTGTGCCCCCGGCAGAAGGGGGACTCCAGGTCATCCATCATTGATGTCATTGCAATTGCTATTTTTTAAAATAAATTTATAAAAATACTAAAAATAACTTGACTGTGGAGGACTGTGTGTCTCCGGGCTGCTGGGTTATGTTTGTAATGTCCACACTGGCCTCTGTGGGCAGACGTGTGATCTCTGGTCACAGTCTCATCCACGGTGGTTGGGCCTTCTGACTTCACCTCAGAGAATCTCTTCTCCCTCCCTCTCAGCCTTGCCGCTCTGCTGAGGGTTCTGTCGCCTGTGGGCTGATGGTGCATTTAGTCTTAACTGCTGGAATGGTTTGTCAGCAGTGACAAGGTAATCCCTTGAGCACTTTCCTTGTCACCAAAACAGCCTTTACCAGGTGCCATAAACCTAGAAAGAGTGAAGGTAACGCTTTAGGGTTTACTTTCATTTCCACAGCCAACTCAAAGCACTTTTCCAATTGTCATAACCCACAGCACGCTCATCCTGTCGCTGCATTACAGCCCCCAGGAATCTGAGCTGCAAAGGCACATTACCCAAAGAGCCATCGTGAGGTGAGACTGCATGGGTCTTTGCTCTTGGATGACAGGAGAAACCTCCTAAGGAGGAGGAGGGACTGACTTAATCCTGAGGTTGATTTCTTTGGTGAGATTTATGCCAGTAGAACATGCCCATGTGGAATCCAGAGATGGACCTCGTTTCTACTCTGTTGACCTTTATCCCAGGTGATCTGCTTTATCCTAGAAGCATGTAGGCCTCCACTTGCAAGCAGAGTCTCCAAGTTGGACAGCTCTTGTCCTTAGAGCCATCCCTCTAGGGCTTAGGAAGTGGGGTGGAGGCCAAGAGGGCCTGCGAGGATTGGTTGGTGGGCGGGCCCCACTAGAGCAGCAGATGTGGATTGGCTACCATTTGGGCAAATCCACTGCTGCTATGGCAACCTCCAGACTACTGCAGAGCTACTTCCGGATCTGCTGGCATTCAGGAGCGGTGGGACCGGAACCACGTTGGCTGCTGGGTTATGTGGGCCCAGGTGAGGTCCTGGAAATTCCAGGGCAAGAGAAGGCGGGTGGGTACTAAGATGGGTATTGTGAGGTGCCTCTTTACCATATGAGTTTTCTGTTAAGCTTTACTCCATTGCACTTGCCTGTCTTTTACTGTTTTGAGTCAGGATCTTGCTTATGTAGTCCAGGCTGGCCTTGAACTCTTGATGATCCTCCTGCCTCAGCCTTCCATATGCTGGCACTACACCACCATGCCCAGCCTTCTCGCTTCGTTACAAGGAAAGCATAAAGTGCTTTGGCCGGACAGCAGGAGGGTGGGGAACTTCTCCACAGATGAGAAGGGTGCTGCTCAGTGACCAGCCTGGCCCTGAGCGCTTTCCAGGCAGCCCCTCTTTCATGGATCATGCACATACTCTGCTCAGGGGGATCTCATTTCTTTAGATTCGCCCCTTGTGTGGAGGGAGGAGGGTCAGAAAGCAAGCCTTGCAGTTAACACAGTAACTTCTGCTCTGTTGGTCAGTGTTTGGGACAAGTTCAACCTGAGTTGTGGGCCAGAACGTGACAAGGACATACCAGCCCAGATATTGAGTTAGCGCATTAGTGACATGGGGAGGCGGTGATCGTTCGCGGGGAGTGATGCCAGCTTTGTACAAAGGAAGCCTGGGGTCCATTTAAAGGGGCACTTAGAGGTCAGTCCTTCCCCTCAATTTTGATTCCATCAAGTTGCTCCTGACAGCCTGGTCCTTTATTTGTACTGCATTTGCCATTCTACCAATCCTCATGTCCCGTGGACTCATTCAGAAAGGGGGAAAAAAGCTTTCAGTTTTTACTTTGCATGGTTTATATTCCTTTCAAAATAAAGTGTTCCTCGGCTTGTGCCTTCTCACAATGTGCCCATTTTATAGAACATCTTTCCATTCTATTATTGCACATGAGCCTACGAGGAAAGGTATCACCTCTTTTCTTACGTGTGTCAAGCTTTAGGATATTTGCCTAATCTAGAAAAAAAAACCCTTATTGGTGCAGTAAACATTGTACCTGCTCGGTGACGTGCACCGTAATGGGCTCACAGAAGACAAACACCCAGCCAGGCCTTTGAGTTAGGCCAACCCAGCGGAAATGAGCCTGAACCTGGGCCTTTTACCACTGGGGGGATATTCTTAGCCCATTACTGACGGCACCCCTTACAGTTATGTCCATACCCTGAGATTCACCAAAATAATTACTTTGTGGCGCCTCCTCTAGGAACTTGATTGTTCAACTCCCTGCTCACCCTTGAATAAATCTCAGAGGTCTTCCACTTTCAGAAGGAGGAGGAAATAAAGTTATGTATCATGTATGCATTACAATAAACTACTGGGTAGTATATAGGGGCTCAGAAGTCAAAGACCTGCCGTCATGAGGTTTCCATTTTAGTAAGGGAGACAGCTAATAGGTAAATAAAATGATCATAGATTATATCTTCTATTAAGATATAAACAGTGCAGTAAAAATATAATTGTAGGATGGGGAGTTTTTCTAAGTTAAGCTGGTCGTAGGAGGCTCAGAGGAGGAGCAGTTCTTGAAGCTGGGAGTGAATGGTGAGGTGAAGACCCTGACATGCCATCTATTTTCATTCCTGTCCTTTCTGCTGTTTCTCTTTAGTACCACACTCCATCTGTCCAGGGTCTCCTTCAACTCGTCATTGACTGCCCCGGCCCAGGACACTGTCACGTAATAACGTGTCACGTGTTCCCAAGGTGCAGGGCAGAAAGCAGCAGAGCTTTCTGGACCTAAGCAAAAAGGATGTGTGCTTTGAGGCATCCTGAGAGAGGCCAGAACTGCTTTGGAAAAAGTCTTTCTGCTGCCCCCTGCTGCCTCGCAGCGTTCTGACTCGGAAGGAACCACCTCCTCACCGGCCGGACAGGTGGGTTGTGCAGCATGAACTCCAGAACGACTCTTCAGCTCCCGGGCCAGGCGATCAGTCAGACGTGGGTCTTTTCTTCCCCACCCCGACCGATTCAGGACTCGCATATCATCATTTAGGATTTATTTCGCCTAGTGTGTCATTGCAGAGGACCCCTCAGAGGAGGTTGGTGTCCCCAACACACCTCCGTCAGAGCTGAGTATCACCTTCCCTGTTGGTAATCAGGATATTGGATTACACCTCGAAGCCCTTGGCTGTTCCAGTATTCCAAGGATCTAGGGCAGTGGTGGTGAACCTTTGAGAGCTTTCGATAATACAAGCAACCGCTGTGGCACACGTGCCATGGGTTCGCCACCACTGATCTAACGCATTCGTGGGTTGGGTGGATGCCCATAGCCCCAAGGACGCCCCTGGATGTCCAGTGTGGTGAGCAGTTCAGCTAAGTGGGCTTGGACTGCTGGGCGGGTCCCGGGGTAGCTCACTGGAGGCCCCTCCGCCTTTGTCCCCTCCCAGGAAGACGACGGTGGCGTAAGTGACAGGCTTGGGGGACTGCACAACCTTGGGAGGCAGAGGGGGAGGTGGGGGTGGGGCTGGGGCTTTCCCTGACAGGGGCTCAAGCGCCAGGTTGGTGTAGGTGGTGTCGAAGGAGGGTGGCGAGTCAAGCCTCACATACGGCACGTCCCATGGCGATGCTGCCGCCAGCCCAGAGTCACCAGCGTGGTGGGCTGCTGAAGACGGGTCCTGCGTGGAAGAGCAGGCGGATCGGGTGACGGGAGGAGGCCTCCCGCTGCCCCAGCCTCCTCTGGCGGGAAGCAGCACCCACACCACGTCAGCCTGTCAAATCCTAAGTCCATCAGTGGCAAGTGGGCTTTGTTTTGAAGGTTTTCAAGCCCAAGCTACTCCCCAGCTCTGAGGAGGCTGAGCTACCTTGGGAAACCATCAGCACCGAGTTTATGGTGGTAGGACGGGGTTTGGACCTTGCCTGGGTCCCCATCCCTCGCCACCCATCACCCTGGGCTCTCAGCGAGTGTGTGCGTGGAGAGGCCAAGGTCTGCAGAGGCCTCTTACCAGGTCCGAGACTCTGCTGCTCTGGAACTGGCCACGAGCTCCAAGTCTGTTCCCTGCAGGACCAGCAACAGCATTGCCGCTTAGTCTACTTGCAGGGCACTCCAGTCCTGCCTGCTCTCTCCCTCCTGCAGCCTCTGGAACCTCCTTCCAGTTTAGACTCACCCTCTCCCTCCCGCCTAAACCCCGCCCTCCATCTCCCACCCGCCCTCCTCCCCTCTGCCTGCCCCCATGCTGCCCAGCCCTCCCCGGGGACCCTCTCCCCATTCTCCCTCCTCCGATCCCATACCCAGTCCTTTCTAATTCCTGTCTGCCCCACTGAATCTCCCCCTCCCCTCCACCCCTCAGCCAGGGGAATTCCAGGGTGACAGAGCTTGACTAGATCTGCCCAAAACTCCCTTTTAGGGCGGTGCAGACCCAGAGACCTGGCCTCAGACCCAGAGACTTGGCCTCATCTGCAGAACTGGCTGACGCTGGACAGTAGAGCGGGGCTGGGACAGGCAGTACACAGCTACCTACCTTTCCTTTTGGCCACCACAACCAACAGCGCCACAGCCACCGCCAGCAGGCCCAGCAGGAGCACTGCACCCCAGACCAAGGGGACACTGAGGGCAGAAGGGATGGGCAGGATGAGCTCTGAGGCAGAGGGGAAGCCATGCAGAAGAATGGCACAGGGCGTCCCGGCTGAAGCACCACGGATGAAGGGCCTCTTGCCGAGCGGGGATGCCTGCCTGCCTGCCTGCCTGCGATCAGAAGTTCCCCAGGGGTGGAAGGAGCCATAAGTTCACCACTCTTCTCCCAGCCACCAAATCCAGCCTTTTCCTCACCTGTTCTCATGCTGGCTGAGCTCCCAAGGGCTGGCGCTGCCTTTGGGGTCCGAGAAGTGGTCCTCAGCCAGGGTGCCAATCCCAAAGGTCTCTTCCTCCTCCTCCTCACCCTCCGTCAGGCCAGGAACTGGGTCAGAAGGACACAGTGAGTGGAGCATGCGCATTGTGGGCCTCCGTGGCTGGTGGAGGTTGAGGGGCGGGGGAGATGGAGCCAGGAAGCAGAGCCCCTGAGGAGGAAGCACGAAGGCGAGAGGCTGGGTCAGGCTGTAGGGGCCCCAGCTGTGGGTCCCGGCCTGGCGCCAACCCCTTGTCCTTCAGCGGAGCTCGCGGGTCCGGAGACTCAGCCCTGGACAAGGCTCCTGTTGCCCTACCGTGTGCTTCCGGTGGCAGAACCCAGGGCTGGCTCCCTCGGGCCAGCCCGTCCTTCCAGGTGCCCCAGGATGGGGGCCTTGCCTCGTTCCTGAGAGATCCACCATTCCTGTTCCCTGCCTGCACCAAAGCCGGCGCTGGAACGCGGTGAGAGTGTCCCTGATATGTAAGCTGACGCTCAACCCGAATTGCGGTGTAGAAACCACATTGCTTTTGTAGCTTTCATTTCTCATGGCCCACATCTTTCCAGTATCTGTCTATTAAAATTTTTAAATGTAGGGGCTGGGGATTTAGCTCAGCGGCACAGCGCCTGCCTGGCAAGCGCAAGGTCATAAGTTCAATTTCCAGTACGGGGAAAAAATAAAAAAAATAAAAAAATAAAATTTTTAAATGTAAATATTATTATTAGAAAACTACCCATCACACTGCACATGCCCTGCCCTCCTGGTGCCAAGGAGACGCCTCAGTGCACACGCGCGGATGCACGCACGCCCTGTCCTGGGGGCGCCTTCCATCCCATCCTCCCACTGCAGGGGGTGCCCAGGTCCCTGCTCCCTGCCCCGCACCCCTGTGGGTTCTGTCCTCTCCCAGTCTATCGGGGTGAGGGGGGCAGAGCTTCACAAGGGCTAACGAGAGCCTGTTTATAAAATAGTGACCACCGACCAGAGTGGACAGGGACTCCAAGGACAACTTAGCCCCCCTCTTATTTAGGGGAAAGCCAGAGCAGGAAAATGCCTTTCTTAGTTTTATTATTTAGAGACACAAATTACTTGAGAATAAAAAGACTGACAAATGGGGGGAGTCTGTTCATAAAAGCAGCAGCAGTCTCCTCTTCAGGCGTCTGACATTTCCCTCCTAGAAGGGTTTTTCCAAATAACACTGTACAGTAGTTTTCTAATAATAATATTTACATTTCTAAATTTTAATGGCTACTTAGATGCTGGAAAGATGTAGTCTGCAAGAATGAAACCTATAACAGCAACATAGTTGCTCCACTGAAATTCGGACTGAGAGTGTCAGCTTACATATTGAGGACACTCTCCATCTTAAACTTGAGCAAGCTGAAGTAGATCAGATGTTGCCTGGATCAGGCACCCACCACCAGTGGTATGATCAATTAAGATATAAATTCGCAGTTTTAAGTCATCAAATGTTGTAGGAATAAAAAAAAAAAAACTGGAAGGTACAAAAATGAATATCAGATTATATGCTCCAATTCAGCTTTGTTTAAAACATTTCTACATTTAGCCAGATGTGGTGACCCGTGCCTAGAATTCCAGCACTCAGGAGGCTGAGGCAGGAAGACTGTTGTGAGTTGGAGATCAGCCTGGACTTCATAGTGAGTTCAAGGCCAGCATGAACTACATAGTGAATCCCTGTTTTAAAAAAAATTTTTTTTCTAAGTTAAAAAAATATATATAAAAAGGTAGCATCAAGTATGTGGGAAAAGCTGGAAGGAGAGGCTGGTGGGAAGGTAAGACCTTATCTCAGTCTTCCAGACCAGTGTGGTTTCCGCTGCCTGCACAGCTGTCAAAGGGAACAACCCCCCCACCCCACCCAACCCCACGCCAGCAGTCTGGCCCTCAAACCCAGGAGCCCCTGCTCTGTGTTGGGGCGGGGAGGGCTGTGCTAACTCACCCGTGGGCAGCACCTCCAGAGCGAAGGTGTGCACCAAGTGGGGCCCCAAGGCGCCCTCCACCAGACAGCCGTACTCGCCTGCGTCGGCCTCTTGCAGCGTGACCATCTCCACCTGCAGCAAGCCCCCGCCCATGTCGGTGAGGAACGTGCGCCTGTTCCCCGGGGCGCTGCGGTCCACTGCCGAGGTCACCAGGGGCTGGCATCCTTCCGGCGAGAAGCGACACCACACCTTCCGCGCCCGGATATCCTGCAGCCGATAGTGGCACTGCACCTGGATGGAGCCCCCCACGGGGACCTGCAGCACCTCGGGGCGGCTGCCAGCAGAGCCCCACCCTAGGGGAGGAAAACAGGTGCAAGGAATTGCCCATCAAAGAACTAGGGACCCGCCCTCTGGCTGGCTGGGGACTCTGGGGCCTCCGGATGGGCAGGGAAGGAGGTGTGGCCGCCTGCACCTTACCTTCTAGTCCCAGGAGCAGCAGCAGCAGCAGGAGCAGGCTGGGGCCCATGGCTGGTGGGGAGGCGACAGCCTGGGGCTCACCAGGGCACTGACACAGCCTTCGCCAAGGGCAGGAAACATCTGTCTCCGAGGGTCACGAGGGGCTCGCCGTGACCGCAGGGTGGGAGGCAGGGACTGGTGGGTACCTCCAGGGGTGGTGCCGGGAAGCTCTTCCCAACCCTGGCTGGCTGGATGCTTGGGGCCCGCCCTGAGGTAGGGTGGGCAAAGGGTGAGAAGGCCCAGGAGAGGGAGGAGGGCAGAGGAGGACAGGGAGGTGTTCGGGGCCTTCCAAACTCAGAAGCTGAGCTGCAGAGCTGGGGAGGAAAGCCAAGCGCTCTGCGCATGGCCCAGCACCTCCCGGAACCACCAGTGTGCCAGTGCAGGCCCAGTGCCCAAGCCCCACTTGGATGGAGCCCTCGCCTGGCCCTCCTTCATGTCCTGCCTGGACACTCACCCCTGCCGACCCTGTACATGGCTTCAGTCAGTCCTGGGGAGCTGGAGTCTCTCTTTGATAGCTGCTTTTCCATATTCCTCCCCTCTCCCTGTTTCCCCGCAAACATGTTAATGAGTTGGATGTTTTCGTGTTTTCTCTCATTTTCTGCCTTTTTTGTTCATTTTTTCTGCCTGATGATTTCTTCATGTTTTTCCTCCACCCTTTTATTATTATTGTCTTTAAATTTCTTAGTCTATGATTTTTTAATATATAAGATCTCTTGCTTATTCTCCAAGTGTTCTTTGTTTAGAGCACACTACTCTTGTTTCTTGAATGCTTTTTCTCTGATGAGGACAGTTCTCCTGAATTCCTACCCTCCACCTCTCCCCCTCCCCTCCCTCCACCTCTCCCCCTGCCTCTCCCCCTCTCTCCTGCAAGTCTCCTGATTTTGGCTTCTCTCCTGTGATGCAAACCCAGTGCCAACCTGGCAGGGCATGGTGGTGCACACCTGTAATCCCAGCACTCGGGAGGCTGAGGCGGGAGGATCAATGCAAGTGTGAGACCAGCCTGGGCTACAAAGTGAATTCAAGCCCAGCCTAAACTGCATATGGAAACCCTGTCTGAAAAATGACTAAATAAATAAATAAAACCACTTCCAGCACAGGAGACATTGGGGCTTCACTCACGTCCCCCTGGGGAATTCCATCTGACCGTGGGTACCAGGGTGGTGGCAGCCATCAGAGTGAGCACAGAGGCCTGCGTGGCTGGGAATCCCCCCTCATCACTCTCCTCTCCTCCTTCCCTCTCTCCTCCTTCCTCAAGCCACAAAGCGTGGACAAGGGAAACCGGAGCAGGGGATGAGACAGCTGCCTGGTGTGTCAGGCTGAACATCCGGGACGCGCCCAGCGGGGTGACCAACTGTCCCTGCTTGCCTGGGAATGAGGGGTTTCCTGGGACAAGGGGCTTTCATGCTAAAACTGAAAAGGTCCTCAGCAAACCAGTCCTTTTATCTGCCCTGCAAATCCTTGCAATGAAGTTATTTTCCCATGAAGAAGCCCCCAAGGGCGTTGTGTGGCATGCGGGGGCTGTACCCAACCTTTAGCTGGGCCCCTCAGAGGACCATGGTCCTGGCTGGGATACAGGGGCCGCAGGCAAAACCCAGGAAGTGCCAGGCTGCTAGTTGAGGACCTACTGTGGCTGGACACCTGGCCAGGGACTTTCACAGACATTATTTCTCTTACCCTCACCCAAACCTATAAAGTAGGCAAAGGGAAGTTGATTGACTGACTTTTACAAGCAGGAACACTGAGGCACAGAGGGGTTGAGGGACATTCCCCGGATGTCTTGCTGGGAGGCAGAGGTGAAACAAAACCCCTGGGACCCAGCTCCCCTTCCGCCCAGTGTGTGCCTGGCATCTCAGGCAGGGGCCCACAGGTGACTCTGACCTGGGGCTTTGTTGCCGGTGTGGTGAGCAGGAAGGAGAGAAGACCACACTCTGATGGGAGAACAGCTGGATTCTGGGGTGGGTGAGGGTGGGGCACACCCAGGGAGGCCCCAGGCCTGCTGCATCAACACAGGTGCCCCCGATGGGAGCCCACAGAGTGGGAGCCCAGCCTTGGCACCTAGATTGCACCCTGGATCCAGTAGGACAGGGCCTTGGGCCCTGAGGACACAACGAAGACGTTTAATGTCCTAGGAAGCAAAAAAAAAAAAAAAAAAGACTGGCCTGGAAGCACCAGGGCAGGGGCGAGGTGTGGCCCACATGGAACGGAAAGGTGGGCACAGCACAAGGTGAGGCTGAACGTGGCTCTGTGCTGGGCTCCCTCCCAGGGACTCAAAGCCCTGCGACCTGGCACTGTGCAGCCACGGCCAGAGGAGCCCTGGCATCCTGGAGGCCTCGGGCAGCGCCCAGACTCTCCACCTCTGCAGCCGCTCGCCCCCCGGGGCAGCGCCCAGGCTCTCCCTCACCCTTTACCCCTGCCCAGTGGCTTTCTGGAAGCTGCCCTAGCTGTCCCCTCGGCCCCCAAAAGCCCCCATGTCCTCCTGGCTCATTTCCTCACCTCCTGCCAGAGTTTCTCCAGGGGCGCCTTCCAACGAGCCTGTTTGGAAGGGCTCGGCCCCGTCCCCTCTGCACGCCAGCGTCTCCACCCTGCTTTATTTTATTTCTCCCTCAGCGCTTTGCTCGCTGATATCCTCAGGCTTGTTTTCTGCGTTCCTTGTCTATCCGTCTGCCCGCTCCAACAGGAGCAGGAGGACTCTTTGCTCATTTTCCTCACTCTTCACAGGGCCCAAAAAAGCACCTGGGGCAGGCCAGAGGCCCCCACTGAATGAATGAATGAATGAATGAATAGGATTGAGCTAGAGGGAAGGTCGCCTGAGTGCCAGGTGAAACTTGGATTTCCAGGCTCTCCTGGGGGCCGCAAGAGAGCCCCTTGCCCTTTTAGAGCCTCAGTTTACCTTCTGTGCCGTGACACGCTCGGAGCATCCAGCTCTGATGTGCTATGATCCCCACTATGACTCCACCCTGGACGGGAAGTTGATGAAAGCAAAGCTCTAGGGAGACAGAGGAGTCAGCCGAGGTAGGCGGCGGGGGGAAGGACGGCCAACAGCCGTCCAACAACCAAGGCAGAGAATGGCACAGGGCCGCAGCGGGAGACACTAGGCGCTGGTGGTATCCAGAGAAGGGGCAGGACTTGGCCACGGGATCTGGGGGAGTGGAAGGGAGGAAGGTGGGAGATGGGAACGGAGGCTGCCCTACCCCCGGACTGGGCCTGCGCAGCCAGATCCTGCGTCTTTCCCTCAGGCAAACCCATTCTCCGCGCCCTGAAGCGAAAGAGAAAACCTTCGTGACGCCCAAACCGTCCAGAGAAAAGCGATCAGTCTTGGATTGGTTTGTGAGCGTGTTTAATGTCCAAACCCAGGAGTGCACAAGCAACCACTCCTACCTCACACACACACACACACGCATGCACGCACGCACACATGCACGCACACACACGTACATGCACACACGCGTGTGCACACACACTGCAAACACACACGCACGCACACACATGCGCACACGCACACGCACAGGCTCCAGGGGAAGCAGGTGCAGGCCCGGTGGCCTCTTGCCAGAGCGGAGCAGACCCAGGAGTCTTGGTGGCCGAGGGGCGGGCACACAGGCACAGGCCGGGAGGCCCCGGGTGGGGTTCCCTTCTCTCATGCGTCCCTTGGTCCTGCAACAGACTGGCTGCTCAGTCCCCGCCCAGCTGGCTAGGCCACCCAGCCGCAGTCCTCACCCAGCTCACCTGTCAGGGTCTGAAGCTGGTGCCCTGGGTCGTGGCCACCGTCCAGCTCCCCGGCCGCAGGTGTCCCCAGCTTCCACCCACGCCAGGCCACACCCCAGAGGACACCAGTGGCCAGAAGCTTGCCGAGGAAAACGAAAGCCAGGAGGAGGGTGGGAGTGGGGCGGAAGGGCGTCTCTCCCAGGTGGCTGTGTGGGGAGAGAGAAGGCATTTGGAGGTACGGGAGTAACAGGTGCAGCCAGCCCTCAGGGAAGGGACAGGGAGAGCCGGCGGGAGGCTCCAGTGCCCATCACCCTCCCTGGGACAGGCTCTGGGGTCTGGGGATGCTGTGGTCAGTTTAGGCCAGGCTGTTTTGAGTGTGCCAGGTACACTGGAACACGGCACCTTCCTGGTTGGGCAGTCGGCTGCTGTCCGCGGTGGCACGCCACTGTGTGTATGTGGCTGCCTGACCAGTGCTGCTAGGTTGTGGGGAAACAAAGGCTGCCTGTCCTGGGGTCTTGGAGGAGCGCTCTTTACCAATGAATCCAGAAGGACCTCAGGCCTGGACCACTGCACAACGCCCTCCCCAACACACACCCCCAGCAGGCTGCAGGGGTTTAAGCAAGGCCACACACAGGCCCTTTCCTGCCCTCAGGCACTGGAACTGCTGGTCCTGGGACCCGCTTCCCACCCAATGCCAGGCTCTGCGGGGTCAAAGCCTACGGGCACGAGAAAGGGACCTCGCGGTACCTGGAGATGCTCTGCTCCACCTGGGCGTCACCGAAGGCTTCAGACAACTCGGGGCTCCAGACATCCTCGTCCTCCTGCAGCACCAGTGGGTCTGTGGGGGACGGCACAGCTGCTGACCCCTCCTGCTGCAGGCCCTGCCCGGGTGGGAGGACTCCACAGGTGCCAGGTGCCTTGGACTCTTATCAGGCCCTTAACCTGATAGCCCTCTGCAGGGCTCGGATCCCTCACCCGTGTACCCCCGAGGGACAAGGTGGGGGTCCCCAGGATTCCAAACAGCGCCTCCACTAACACCCACCCCTGCAAAGAGCAAATGCACAGCTTTGCAAATGAGTGTAATCTGCCGAGCTGTCTACACTGCATGGGTCCCGCTGGCCCTGGGGAGTCGGCTGGGCCTTGGACCCTGATAGGGCTGAAAGTCCATGTCTCTCCCTTCCCAGGCCCTTAGGAAAGTGAGGGAGGTGGGATTTGTGCCCAGGGCTGCGGGGCCCCTGTTCCCCTCTCCCCAAGACAAATGCTACTCTTGTTCCCAGGATAGAAGGGCAGAGTGGGGTCAGGGAGCTGGGAAGGATCTGCGACTTGGAGCTGCTCTCCTTGGAGACACTGTTCTGGGAGGCAGTGGAGGCTTCCTGGAGGCCCAATTCTCCAGTCGGATGTCTCACCTCCTAAGTGAGGACCCCAAGCCAGGTCAGAGGCAGGAGGTCTGTTCAGGGCATCCCTCCCTCTCCTGCTCCCAAGCACTCACAGGAACCCTGGGGGTCATCAGGACAGTCACCAACATCTCCACTGAAACCTGGGTACATGTGTGTGTGTGTGTGTGTGTGTGTGTGTGTGTGTGTGTGTGTGTTTCCAGGTGTTTCCAGTGGTGGAAACCAGGGCCTCCCACGCCATGGTAGGTGAGTGCTCTGCCCCTGAGCTACAGCTCCAGTCCCAGTATCCTCATTTTAAGAGGAGGAGATGAGGCCCAGCACAGCAAGCCTCCTTGCCAGGGTGTCTTTCTGCACAGGCTGGTGCTCAATTTGCTTATAGGTCTTTTGGCTTTTCAGATGCGGGTATAAATTAATCTCCTGCTAGAATACAAGGGTTCAAGGAAGCAGGGCCAAAGCAGACAATGTCTTCATGTAAATTAGAGAAGGATGCCCTTCCTGTAGGTGACATAGCCTTGCACCAGGGAGCACAGCCTGGATTGGGCTAGCTTGTGCAGTGAGTAACCTGCACAACCATCCATGGGACCCAAACTGGGGACTTTCCCAGGGTAACAAAGAACCCAGAGGATGCTCCCGCACCCAGGGTCCCAGACAAGGGGCCTGGTCTTGGTCCAAGGCCAGAGGTGCTCACCTTCCAGCACCTCCACCAGCACCTTGTGGAGGGTGTCAGCCTCCCTGCCGTGGAGGGCCTGGCACTGGTAGAGGCCGGCATCATGGGCCTGAAGGTTCCGCAGCGTCACAGTGAGGGTGCCGCCCAGGGCATCATCTGTGATGGCCGTGCTCCCGTTCCGCCTCCGCAGAAAGGCCAGCAGCCACAGGCTGTGCGTGCTGACCACTCGCTGGCACAGGCCCTCCTCCTGCGGCTGCCGGCACCAGGCCTTGCGGCGCCCCCAGTGTTTCACCGGGTCGTAGGGGCAGGAGATCTGCAGGGACTGGCCGGCCACACCCTGGAACACTGTGGTGTTGTGGGCTCCGGACAGCTCTGGAGGGGAGACAGCAACTCATGCTTCCATCCGGTGCTAAGTATTTACTGAGCACCTACTATGTGCAGTGGATGGAACGGAGCCCAGCAGGAGCTCAGGTGCTTGCACAGGTGTGCGGGGAACAGTCCTAACTGCTCGTCTCACCACTGGACTTGCTGGGTGACTTTGGAGAAGCAGCAGACCCTCTCTGGACCTATTTCCAGAGCCCCTCGTCTGCAAAGCTCCTCCAGTTCCATTCTGCACATCTTCCTCTGTCACATGAGACCAGGGCTGGCGGCCGCTCGCTGTCCCAGCCGTCCACAGTGGTACTGACAAAAGCCGCATCCTCCTTCATCCTGACCTTTAGCTTCCAGCTTCCCTATTTCTGTGGCTTTGTTCCCCTTTCAAGAAGGACTTGTCTCGAGCTATTTTGGGGGAGACATGAGGCTGCTATTCTGGGGAGGAGGAGCCAGCCTTGAAGCCCCAGCCGATTGCCCAGGGCAGGGGCTCTAAGGAGTGGTCCAGAGCTTCTGCCTCCCCATTGGCAATCTGCAGCCACAGATTGCTGGGAAGGGGCTGGGATTGAAGCTGGCTGTGGTGGTGCACGCCTGTAATCCCAGCACTCAGGAGGCTGAGGCAGGAGGATCACTGTGAGTTCAAAGCCAGTCTGGGCTACAAAGTGAGATTGAGGCCAGCCTGAACTACATAAAAAGACCCTGTCTCAAAAAGCAAAAAAAAACAGAATCAGAAGAAGGAGGAGGCAGAGGAGGAGGAAAGAAAGGAAGGAAAGAAGGAAGGAAGGAAGGAAGGAAGGAAGGAAGGAAGGAAGGAAGGAAGGAAGGAAGAAAAAGAAAGAAAGAAAGAAAGAAAAGAAACAAACAAAGGAGAAAGATAGAAAGAAAGAAAGAAAGAAAGAAAGAAAGAAAGAAAGAAAGAAAGAAAGAAAAAGAAAAAAGAAGGAAAGACAGGTTTAAGAAGCCAATGGCCTGCACTGCCGCGCTAGAGACCCTGTGCATCCTCTCTGGCACCCCTGCCTCAGGGAGGCTGACTCCGTGCAAGACTCAGGGCAGACAAGACTCTGTGGGGACAATCCTCCCCCTACTCAGGACTTCCCGCTGCTCTGGGGGAGCAAGAGACACCCAGCCGGGTGTGGTCAGGAGGATCAAAAGTTCAGGCCCAGCCTGGGTAACTTGGGGAGACCCTATCTGAGAATGAGAGGAGGGGCCTGTCCCACAGTGGGAAGAAGGAGTTGTGTGCACGGCTGCGGGATGACCGAAATCTTCAGCCCCTGCCGGTGCTGCAGCCCCTTCCCAGCATCCCCTAGGATGCAGATCTTGGTCCGGGGTCTTCCTCCCTCCCTCCCTCCTGCCCACCCTGCCAAGCCCCGGGATGGTCTTATGCTTCACCGAATCACAATTTGAGGGGCTCTTATCCGTGCCCCTCTAGCTTCCCGGGGCTGCACCTGGATGCGCCCTTCCCGGCAAGGCCAGGGTCCAGCAGCCCCTCGCGCCTGCGCTCCAGGACGGCTGTGGCCCGAGGGTGCGATCCGAGGGAGGCGGCGGGAGGGAGCGGGCGGAGCGGAGCACAGCAGCCCCGCGCGAGGCCGCCAGCTCCTTCCTCCTCCTCCCTCCTCGGGCCCGCGCCCACCTCTCCACGCCGGCCACAAGCTCAGGCAGGAGAGGGAAGGAACCACGGGGGCAGAGGGGACACCTACCTGTAACGAAGAGCAGGAGGAGCAGCGGGAGAGGCTCCATGCCGCCTCCGCGACGGCAGACACTCGGGGGCTGGGGCAAGCGCTCTTTCCCTGGAACTGCAGAGGCGCGGACTGGCCCGCGCGGCCCACAGGAACTGGGCTCCCGTGATTCAGGACGGGCGTGGGAGGGAGGAAGGCACCCGCTTCAGGGGCCTGGGAGGAGGCGGAGGGTGACAGAGCCCTGGGACGAGGGCGGGCCTCCTCCCGGGCTCGGGATGCCTGGTCTCCGGCAGAGCCCCACCCCCCGGGCACTGTCCACACAGCCCTGCTCAGCCTCTCAGGGGACAGAGAACAGCTGCTCCCCTGGGGGCTCCGGACCTCGGCGTCCCCTTCCAGGCCTCCCCCTGCACTCCACACTCGGATACTGAGAACACAGATTTCCCGACTTCCTGTGTGGGCAGCTACACACCCATGACACCCCGTGCCTCAGTTTACACATCTGTAAGATGGGAACATTGATAGCGCACCGCATAACGTGGATCCCTACGAGTAATGTGCTTCCAAACAGCCTGCAGCACAAGAAGCGCTGGGCATGAGAGGGGAGCCTCTCTGCAACCTCCTGCTTAGGGTCAGCCTCCTATAAGCAGCCGGGCATCCCTGGTGGGGGTGGGGGTGGGGTGGCATCCAGTTCTATGCATCACAACACACTCGTGTTACTCTAGGTGAGAACCACCATCACTAAGTCTGTCAACAAACACCACAATACAAAACACTTTCATCGCCCCCCAAAGTTTCCTCGTGCCTGGTGTTAGCCAGTCTCCACTTCTCCAGTCCAGGCTCCAGCAACGGCTGGTCTGACATCTGTCCCTGCAGCTTCCTGCCCTCTACGGCGCGTCATCCTCGGGAACCACACCGCACAAGACCTTTCGAGCTCGCTGAGACGCACACGGTGCGCACAAAGCTGCCCTTCCCTGCCATCCACCCCCTTTTCTTGCAGAGCAGAACTGTGTGGCACAGAAGAGTCGCAGGTGCTTTACTCAACAGCCGATAGGCACGTGGCTTGTTTCTAGTTTGGAACAATAATGCAGCAAGTCTTGACTAACATATATATAGAGATATATATTTTTTACAGATGCTTTCATTTGCTTTGATCAAGTCTTAGGCTTACAGCCAGGCGTGTCACAGGCATGTAATCCCAGCACTCTGGGAGGCCGAGGCAGGAGATCCCAAGTTGGAGGCCAGTCTGGGTAACTCAGCAACTTAGGGAGACCCTGTCTCAAAACAAAAATACAAACAGGGCTGGGGACATAGCTCAGTGTGAAGACCCTGAGTTCAATCCCCAGTACTGCAAATCAATCAATAATCAGTAATCCATCCACCCACCCATCCATCCATCCACCCATCCGAGGAGTGGGAGTGCTAGCTCACATGGTAAGTGTAATTCCATGAAAGCCAAACTGTTTTCCAAGAGGTTTTAGTATTTTTGCATCCTTGTCAACATTGGATAGGCTTTCTTAAACCTTTCCACTAGTTTAAGATAGTATCTCATTATGGTTTTAGTGTGTGTTTTGCTAGTGACTGATGTTAGATGTCTCCTCATTGTTCATATAATCTTATCTCATGAGCTATCACTTCCCATGGCTAACAGTAAGTCGTGAGACTCCTGTGGATATCTTGGTTGTTTTTTTTTTGTTTTGTTTTGTTTTATTTTTTTTTCCCCCGGTACTGGGAATCGAACTCACGACCTCGTGCTTGCCAGGAAGGTGCTGTGCTGCTGAGCTAAATCCCCAGCCCCTCCTGTGGATATCTTGGATGCCAGTCTTCAGTCAGACCTGTGCTTTGCAAATACCTTTTTCTAATCTGTAATTGGTTTTCTCATTTCATTAACAGTGCTTTTCAAATGGGTAGATTTTAATGCCAATGAGTCCAACTTATTGATTTTTCTTTCATGATTTGTACTCTTGACATTCCATGTAGGAAATTCCCCTGGCTCAAAGTTATAAAGGTCTTTTCCTATGTTTTCCATTAAGAGTGGGTTTTTTTGCATTTGCATTTGTTTTTTGTCTTTTAGAGACAAGGTTTCCCTATGCAGTTCAGGTTGGCCTTGAGCTCACTTTGTAGCCCAGGTTGGCCTTGAACTCCCAGCAATCCTCCTGCCTCAGCCTCTGAGTGCTGGGAGTATAGGCATGCACCACCACGCCTGGCTTAAAAGTCTTATTTAAGTTTTACCTTTTGGTCTATGATCCAATTTTTAGTTAATTTTTACATGTGTTGTGAGGTCTAATTTGTAGAACTTTTTGTTTTGGTTTTTATTTTTGTTTTTGTTTTTGTTTTTGTTTTTTTTGCATGTAAACATTGTGCCAGAATCACTTGCTAAGAAAGTTGTATTTTCTCTATTGAATTGCCTTAGAAGGGCCAGGTATATAGCTCAGTGACACAGCACCTGCCTGGCAATCAAAAGTTCCTATGTTTGATTCCTGGTACAAAAAAAAAAAAAATCTAGTATACTGAATTGCCTTAGAGTCTTTATTGATGATCAGTTGATGTATAAGTAAGTCTAGTCCCTGACTGTATACTGGTTCCGCTGACCTACATCTCTGTCTCCATCAATGTCACAGTACTTTGACTGCTAACCGTAGCTTTATAGCTAGGTATCAAAACCAGAGGTGCTTCTCCAAGGTGGGTTGTCTAGTCTAGTTCCCTTTTCTTTTTTTTTTTTGTTTTTGTTTTTGTTTTTGTTTTTGCTACCAGGAATCAAACTCAGGACCTTGTACTTGCCAGGCAGGTGCTGTGCCACTGAGCTATATCCCTGGCCCCCTAGCCTAGCTCCTTTACTTTGCCATGTCAGTTTTAGAATCAGCTTGTTAATTTCCATCCCCTCACAAGGCAGGCACACACACACATTCACACACACACACGCAGATTGCATTGACACTATCGTTCAGCTTGGAGAGAAATAAACATTTTTCTTTGGTACTGAAAATCATACCTAGTGATGTGCTACTACTGAACTACATTGCTACCCCTTTTTATATTTTTATTTTGAGACAAGATCTCAATAAGTTGCTCAGGCAGCCCTCAAACTCCTGCCTTCTGGGTAGCCAGGATTACAGGTGTGTGCCCCCACTCCTGGCTAGACGCCGTAACACACTGGGCCTTCCAATCTGTGGACATAGCTTGGTCTTTTAGCTATTTATTTCTTCTATGGCTTCTCTGATAAATGTTCTCTAGTTTTCTGCATAAAAATCCATGCACTTTGTTTTTGCCTAAGTACTTCATGATATTCTGTGCTATTTTAAATGTTTCTGGCTTTCTGTATCATAGGCAGAAGCAGATTTCAGAAGTTCTGTAAATCTGTTTTCTTATTTTCTGGCCCACTTATGCTTCATTCTGGCTCCTTCTTCCCCTTTCCTTCCTACCCAAAGGAAAGCTCTTTTTTATTCCTTCTAAACCGTGGCACAGGGCAGGCCTGCAGAGACTGTTTCCCATTACTCACAGCACACGCATAGCAGTGCTGGCTCCTTGCAGCCTTGCTGACCCAGGCCCCTTAGGTCCAAGCACGGGACTTCTCGCCACCCTACTCCCAAGCACAGGGCCCTTCCTTTCCTTTCGCTGAATGTGAGTCCGAAGGTTCCTCCAGTTCACAGCTGAGCACAGAGACACTTCGCCTCTCTCACATCTGAGCCCCACTGCCTAGTGATCCACAAGCAGTCCTTCTCCCACCAGCCACACGCTCATCATGGTGCCATAGAGCTCAGGTCTCACGGGGCTCCACATTCCTGGCTGTCATGGTGACCACCACTGAGGAAAACTAGAACCGGAAGTGTAGCTGGGGCTCACGTGGCTCCCATGGGACAGGTGATACACGCCTGCCATCTGACTTCCGCTGCGCTCTTGAAGCTGCTGGGCCGTTCTCAGAATCCCTCGAGGTTCCCCATAAACCCCTGCAGGAGCTGTTCCCTATCGTCACTCTCCTCTGTGGGGGCGCACCTCTCTGTGTCTCCTTTTCCCCTGGGCTCATTCAAGGCATCAGAAGTGAGTATCGTCACCGCTCTCAGATCCTCTGTCCCCACTCCGGCCAACCTGAGCATCCAGGAAGCGTGGAAAACCTGTCAGGACCATGGCCAGCGCCCACACCTGCTGGAGCTGGGACGTAGTGACCAGAACCTCTCTGGTCATGGGAACAGAGTTCTCAAACCTGGGACAACTCGAACTCTAGCAGAACACATCACCAGGCTCACCTGAGACATGCCATGGAGAGGATGGGTGGTGGTGTCCTCAACGTCATTGGCTGGGGCCACCACCCGGAACCACTGCAGTCCCCAGACGCCATTCCTATAAGTAGATGCATAAGACCTCCCTTTCCCAGTTCCCTCTTTGATCCTACCTTGTTTTTATTTGAGCTCTCCTGCCTGGATCCAAGCCCCTGTCCTCCAGCCCCAGCTTCAATCCCTCTCAGACTCCTCGGTCTTCTCTCTTCTCCCCACCCCTCTCTGTATTTGAACTTCTACTTTCTGACACATCTAGGTCCAATCCACTCCTAACAACTCAGACTTTCTAAGTTGAGAGTCGAAATTCCTGTTACGGGCAGAATGGCTCCCAGGTAGTGTGTGTGTGTGTGTGTGTGTGTGTGTGTGTGTGTGTGTGTGTGTGTGTTGGGGTTGCATAGGTCATAGGCACGCATGTCTTGGGCCAGTCTGGCACAGAACACAGGAGATGAGACACCCTTGGGTGCTCAAGCCGGTGTAAGTGTGCAGACATCAGACAGAGCTGAGGCGGAAGCACAGGCATCCTCTCCTGCTGCTCATTGGATCAGAATTAGTCACAATCTGGTCAGGGTCAGGCAGGCTATCCCACTGAGTATGACAGCCATGTGGGGACAGGAAAGTTGTGTGGGTCAGTAACTGGAAATACAGAGTAGGAATCAGGACATAGACCATGGCTTCTTACAGATCTTATTCTGTGAGGTGTGATCCAACTCTATTGTTAATGTTTAAGTTTTTAAAATGTATTACAGTAAAAATGCATTGCTATGAAACCCTATCAGGTTAATAATATCCCTCAGTTATTGTGGATTGATCAGGTCCATAATCTCCCAAGTGAGTGAATGGTGAAAGCTAAATAAAAGACACAAATGGAATGATTTCAGGGCTCTAGAAGGATCAAAACCCTCTCACAAAATTCAAGATTCTCTTGGGGGCTAAGACCAAGACCTTCTCTGGGT